TATGCCAAGAGGCAAGGACTGTGAGGTCTTCTCCTCTCCTCCCTCCTTCCTTGACTCCCAGCTTTAAGTGCCACTAGTAGATAGGTCATTCTATGAACTTATGGTGGACATTCCTTATTCTCTCTATGGAGATACAGGCCTCAGTGTTAAAGTGCAGTTCTTTACCTTGTGTCCCTTTAAAAGAGGGTCACGCCTGAAAGCCAAGTCTAATCCTCCTCATCAGGAGGAGGTGGCTGCTGTTGCGTTTGTTTTGTCTTACATCCCCTGTTAGAGCTGGCTAGCTGCTCACCTTGCCTGCGGTGATGGCAGACTTTATCTTCCATGTCTGCTCTTGTAATCCTGGATAATCTCCTTCATTTGAATATACAGCGAAGAAAGCCCTTCGCTCTTGTGGAGCTCTTGATGCAGTTCCAGGGACGGACCTTACTCTGAGCCTAGAAGGGGACCCACCTTCTCCTTGAACCAGATTCTTATTCCTTTTACAATCGTTGCGATGTGAAAGTGAGATACCAAGGACATAATAACTTCCATAGCAACCAACTGTGAAGGCACAAACAAGAGATTATGATTCAGGTGGGGAATAAACAGTAGAGACACAGATGAATCCTTCAAGAACATGTTTTCGCGCCAATGTCCTTTGTAATAAAGAACCAGGGAACAGAAATATAAGGGAAATGTAGATTCAAAAAGGCTGAATCATTCCTCTCCATAGGTTGTTTTTCATCTTTCCATAAGGCGTCAAGCTGTCCTTTAAATCTGCTCCGCATTATATTGCCAAAGTAATAGATTTGAAAACTAAAGTATTTTTACACTTTCTACTTCTTTCTCAGAAATTTTAAGATATTTTGACATTATCTCTCCTTCCCAATCTCTCTTTTTTCCAGTTAAAACAAAAGGTGTATTATTGGGGTGGAGCGAAGTAGAAGGAACAGGAGAGAGAAAATTGGAACCAATTTTTACATTCATAGCTACATGCTATTTCCCAGAATTGTACCACAGAATCTATAATCTAGACCGTCCGTTCATGGCATAGTGCCTTCCAGATATATCTGACTATATTCTTTCATCATTCTCATAGGCCAAGATCTTTCTATTTAAACAGGGCTTCATTTTTTAATTGGCTGGGGTAGTGCAATGGATAGGTTTGAATGGGCTTTTAATTGTGATAAAATATGTTTGTATTTTAGAATTTTTAAAGTTGTGTTTCAATATAGGATGTGAACAGTTTCAATATAAGGTGTGAACCTTTTGGTTGAATAGTGGGCTTTAAATTAAATATGTAAATGCTGGGCAACCTAATTAATGCTGCAAGTTGCTTCTGGTGTGAAAGAATCAGCTGTCTACAAAGATGCTGCTCAGAGTACACCTGAATGTGTTACGATCCTATAGGAAGGCTTCTCTCATATCCCTCATACCATGTCCCAGTATCTCTCATGGCTGATACCTGATGAGAAACTCCCCCCTGGGCACACAGAAGACTGGGCGACTTGGGACTTTTAATATAATGCCAAGATCTTAACTTTGTTTGTGCTTTTAAATACATTATAACTGTACCCCCAATTTGCTTCTGACGCAATAAATAAATATCTGATTAATGCTGGGTATAATTCATCTGAAGGGAATCAGATAGGTAAAGAAAGGATGATATAGATCAGGATGGGGAAAATGTAGCCCATGAGCTGCATGTGCCCCATATGTCCTACAGACTCCCTCCAAATGATGGATCACAGTAAACAAAATCCCCTAAATGACAAATCATGTCCCTTTGGGGAGCCTCTGCAGAGTATAATTTGCCATTTTGGAAACATTTGGACAAGGTATAGGGTTCTGAAGATCTGTGTGGCCCACAAAGATTCTGGGGAGGATAAAATGGATCTTGGCTCAAGATAGACATGGCCTCAATAAGGTAAAAGTTTCCCCTGATATTAGGTCTAGTTGTGTCCAACTCTGAGGGGTGGTGCTCATCTCCATTTCTAAGCTGAAGAACTGGCGTTGTCCACGGACACCTCCAAGGCCATGTGGCCAGCATGACTGCATGAAGCGTTGTTACCTTCTCACAGAAGTTCTACCTATTGATCTATTCACACGTGCATGTTTTTGAACTGCTAGGTTGGCAGAGAGGAGCCCCCGGTGGCACAGTGGGTTAAAGCGCTGAGCTGCTGAGCTTGTTGACCAAAAGGTCACAGGTTTGAATCCGGGGAGTGGTGTGAGCTTCTGCTGTCAGCCCCAGCTTCTGCCAAGCTAGCAGTTCAAAAACATGCTAGCTCAATAGGTACCGCTCCATCAGAAAGGTAACGGCACTCCATGCAATCATGACCTTGGAGGTGTCTATGGACAATGCCGGCTCTTCTGCTTAGAAATGGAGATGAGCACCACACCCCAGAGTTGGAAACAACTGGACTTCATGTCAGGGGAAAACCTTTACCTTTACTTAGGTTGGCAGAAGCTAGACCTAACAGCAGGAGCTCATCCCACTCCGTGGATTTGAACCACCAACCTTTCGGTCAGCAAGTTCAGCACCTCAGTGGTTCAACTTGCTGTGCCGCCCAGGGACATATATTTGGTCACCATCCTGTAGCTTGCCAAACATTACTGGATGCCCAACATCCTTCACCTCTGGCTATTCTCACTAGATTTGATGGAGGCTTAACCTGGATGGGTCTTATTCTCATCCATATTCTTACATGGCTACAAAACAAAAACAACAACCAAACTAAGATGGAGCTGGGAAAACAGAGAGTTTGCAGATAACACCAAAACCTACTCTTACTGCTAGTTTTTAAATGTCTTGGCTCCTGAGTGTGATAAGCTAAGTAAAAAATTGATGGGTGGCATGTAAAACACGGAGGCCTTCCTCCGTCTCAAATGCATAGACACATGTTGTCCATTTCATGTTCATATATATTTCATACAACATATGCATTTATTAATGACATGGTGATGTTTCTTTCCCTCTTTGTATGCATTGTTCTTGTGCGCATATTTTTGAACAGTTCCTTGTAGTTTTTATAAATAGCTTTCATTTGTTAGGGCAATAGGGTACACAATGCCATCTGATTTTAACTGTGCATTTTAATCTTATCAAGATCATTGTTGTTCACTGTTTTATTATGTGTTTCAGTTTTAAGTGTCGTTGTATACTGACATCAGAGACCTAAAAGATTGTTTATATTTTAAATAAGCAAGCCAATAAAATATTTACATTTAAGTAGATCTTAATTTTAATGTGTTTGTTGAGATTTTAAAAGGATGTTTAAGGTTCAATAAAATTAAAAAGAGAATGGGATAGCTATGGGAGCATCTATCACCTTATTTCTGCTGCTTTAGCACCTGGAAACTTGGAGTGAATTAGCTCTGATATCTGCACTTAATTTGGAACATCCCTGTACCCAATTTCCCAAAATCTCCCCTTCTTATATGATCTCAATTCACTTGCACTTAGGTGATCCCTCACTGTCTGAGTAGAATAGTCTTCCAGGATCAATGTACTGGCGGTGGATCCGTAGGTGACTGTGGAGCCCTATTCTTGATCTGCATCTTCTCCCGCAGTGAGGGCATTGGTTTCCAGGTGGAAGGCAGTTCTGGTCGTGGTTGGCTTGATGCACCTTCCTCTTGACATGTCCCTCCATTCGTGCCTCTTCAAATTCTACAGCACTGCTGGTCGCAACTGATCTCCAGCTGGAGCACTCAAGGGCCAGAGCTTCCCAGTTTTCAGTGTCTATTCCAGAGTTTTTAAGGTTGGCTTTGAGTCCATTTTTAAACCTCTTTTCTTGTCCACCAACATTCCTTTTTCCGTTCTTGAGTTCGGAGTAGGGCAACTGCTTTGGGAGATGGTGGTCAGGCATCCAGACAATGTGGCTGGTCCAGCGAAGTTGATGGTGGAGGACCATCCCTTCAATGCTGGTGGTCTTTGCTTTTTCCAGCACGCTGACATTTGTCGGCTTGTCTCCCCAAGAGATTTGCAGGATTTTCCGGAGGCAGCGCTGACAGAATGATTCCAGGACTAGCATGTGACGTCTGTATACAGTCCACGTCTCGCAGGCGTATAGCAAGGTTGGGAGGACAATAGCTTTATAAACAAGCACCTATGATCTCAATAAAGCGGTAAAGAACCCCACTCTATAAAATTGGCTACTTTCAGAAATTAAACAAGTAGTCGTCAGCCTGGAGATGATGGAAACAGCGCTCATCATTTGCTCAACTATGGAATATAGTAGTTTCAGAATGTCATGTATTGATACGTCTGCCACTTTGCAAAACATTTTCAGTAAACAGTAGGTCCTCCATATCCACTGATTCCACATCCTGAAATCTAGCCAACTTGTGGCTCAAAAATATTTGAAAATTAACAAAGTGCATTGGCTGGAGCAACCAGCATGGGATTGTTTGTGGCTCGCTGAAACATGAGCCAGTTCATGCATGGTTTGTTGGCTTGTGGTTGATTCAGGAAATGCTCATTGATATGCAATTCTCAGAGCTCAACATTTTATATAAGGAACTTGAGCATCCACATTTTGGTATCTGTGACAGCCCCTGAAAGCAATTTCCCACAGATACGGATGGCCAAGTGTATAGTGTTCCTACACTAGCTAGGCACTGGAAAGACTTCTAAAGAAAATGGGGTTGGACATCAGAAACATGGTGCCAAGTTCATGCCATTCTCTGTTGTGAATTAAACCCCTTTCTGGATTCTGCGCCCAAACTGAAATGTAATGAATGTGATTTGTGCTATGTCTTCTGAGGTATGTCCATCACAGTTCATTCCCCACTGCCCCTTTCGTTTGGACACCTATGCTGAACAGAAATTGTATCAGTTGCTGCAAAATAGATTTGCACTGCTTTTGATCCAATTTGGCACTTAGACACTGTACTCAATGACAGTAATGTTTTTGACATTGCAGTTTTTTTTTAAAAAAATGAGCAAAGAAGAATTGGTCCATCAATAGCATCAACAGGAGGGCTGACCTTGTACTGATTTCCTCCTATGTTTCTTGTTACAGTTCCTCCCCAGATTATCAATATCACATCAGACATTGCAGTTAATGAAGGCAGCAGTGTAACCCTCTTGTGCTTGGCATTTGGGAGACCAGAACCCACAGTCACATGGAAGCATCTCTCTGGCAAAGGTAAGATATTTCTCTGAAGCGTGGAGATGGGGAATCCATGCTCAATCAACCAGGAGAGAGGGACAAAAAAGTACTGAATTGTATAGGGAGAAAAGACAAATATTCTGTTGCATTGTGTACCTCTTTGTGGACAATCTAAGGGATGTGATATGTTTTGTAACAGAAAGCTGGAGACATAGAAAATTGTTTTATTCAATTGGTCATTGGTGGGGGTATTCGGAGTATGGCCATTTCATATTTTTTTGTATTGTGTGAGGGTGTTATTGGGTCTGACATGTAATGAAAAATCCATAGGTTATGACTTGATATGCAAATGACCACCAAATACCAGGTAGAAATATTTTTCAGCAAGAGGTTGATGGGCCTGCCTTGTGACAAAATAGAAGCAACTACAAAGAAAAATGCATAGTATGTGTCAGCTTGATACATATTGTCCACCCTGACGTTTCATTTAAATGGGTTCAATTTAAATGGCCTTAATTGTAGTGATCTAAAGCAATGTTGTGTCTCATTCTTGAGTATTTTCTATTTTAGATTCATGATATGGCAAATGATTGGCCACAATTTGAAGTTGTAGCCAGGTCAGAGTCACCTAATGGCTCTTGAAGAATTTCACATTCGAGGGTCAAGTTATGAATTGTGGAGGAGATCCTGGTAGAGTACAATTTTTCAGATTACTGTGATGTTCAATGTATTGTCGAAGGCTTTCATGGCTGGAATCACTGGGTTGTTGTAGGTTTTTTCGGGCTGTATGGCCATGGTCAAGAGGCATTCTCTCCTGACGTTTCGCCTGCATCTATGGCAAGCACCCTCAGAGGTAGTGAGGTACTGTGATGTTGTTAATCATGTTTCCAGAATTTTCCCCAGATTTTGTCATTCTGAATCTCTTGGTTTTCTTTATGAATTAGAAATGAAGCATTAGGAATTTTCCATTGTTTACCAGATGTTGTTTAGAACATACCGTACATCCTGCTTGCCATAGCTCTTGGCGCAATCGGCTCATCTACACCCATCTTCCATTCTTTCGCTTATAGAATTACCAACACACATTTCCTAGGAAAATAAAAGCAAATAAAAAAGAAAAAGAAAACAAAAACCCCAAAGCCATATTGATAGAATTGTGTAGATTCTCTCTCTGTGTGTGTTGTGATGTATCAGAGCGTGTGCAAGTACCAATGAAATATAGCAGAGTGAAGTAGGGCAAGAATCTCAGTCTAATTGAGCACACTTGTACCATGTTCGCCTCTCTCTCTTTCTCTCTCTTTTAAAAAAATATAGGTTTATCTCCCCGCACTGCTTCATCAATACATGCATTCACAACAGCGATACAAATTGGAAGTGGAAAACATAAAATGAACTGGGGAGGGGTTTGAATGCTGGAGCAAGTGAGCATGCTCCCATTCTGTCATCATTTTTTTTAGAAATTTTCTTGGAATCCAGAAGGGAATACACAATATACAGCACCAGAAGAACAAAGTAGTAGGGCAAATGAAATCATCTTGCAATATTAGAAGCACAATTCAACTGGGCAAATTAGTCATGTGTGGTCAAATTAGTCATGCTTGGCACTTCTAATTTAATAGGGATTATTTAGCAACATGGAACACGTAGAAGAACACACAAAGTGTGGTCTGGGCACTACATGAAGGATCCTGGTCTGACATCTTTGGACTCTGAAGTCCCTCAAAAGCCATCCCACCAAGTATTCCAACCCTTAGAGATTTTAAAAGTTGTGATTCTCAAATGTTTTTGCCTGAAAAATGTGTAGAAAATCCCCAAACATATAAAAACATGGCCAAAAACCATTTCCAAGTCACCTGCACTAACCCATCAGAAAAAAATGATGAACCAACCTGGACACAGCATTTTATTTGAGAACACAGAAATGCTGGACCACTCTCACAACCACCATGTCAGACTACACAGAGAGGCCATTGAAATCCACAATCATGTGGACAATTTCAACAGAAAGGAGGAAACCGCGAAGATGAACAAAATCTGGCTACCAGTATTAAAAAAAACTCTAAAATTACAACAGCACAACAACAGAGCAGAAACAAACAAGGACATCTAATCACCTCTCAACAAAAGTTTGCTCTAGGCACTGTTCAGGCCATTATATGCTAATCAAGGTGGTCAGTTGAAACATTCACACCTAGCTCCAGCAGACAAGAGTCCTTTGTCCCACCCTGGTCATTCCACAGATATATAAACCTTTTTCCTAGTTCCAACAGACCTCACTACTTCTGAGGATGTTTGCCATAGATGCAGGCGAAACGTCAGGAGAGAATGCCTCTAGACCATGGCCATATAGCCCGAAAAAACCTACAACAACCCGGTTTATTTATTTATATTTATTTATTTACTGCCTTTCTATGCTGCCTTTCTCAGTCCGAAGGCAACTCAAGGTGGCTTATCTTTCAAAACATGCTCAAATGTGGCTAAAACTACACAATTTTGCTAAAGTGGAAGAAACATGAATTTAAACAAGTTTTTTTTATCTGAGAGGACACATATCTAGGAACCTCAGCGTTCCCCAGTGTAAAAGCTGCATTGGAGGACTTTGAGATGCCTAAATTGAAGATATTAATCATCATTGAATCCATAAATAATCAAATCCATAAAAAGTTATACCTGCAAATATTGAGGGCTAACTCAAAATAATGGCAGGAAGGGATACAATATGACTTTCTATTACCACTTTATGATGAGATGCAGAAGGAAATGTAGGTATTTGGGTTTGTTGTAAGGGGCAGTGGTTTGCAGAGTGCTCTGGAAATTGATCCCTGAGGAGTTGTCATTCCCAGTTTAGATGATATATTAGTCAGGAAGTGAAATGAGAAATTTGCTCTGTCTCTCTGTCCAAGTAAAACAAAAACAAGAAGCCCCTGACCTAATTCAGATATAGCTGAGAGACTAGTGCTATCTAGTGATGACAACAGACTAACTTAACTACACATATATTAAGTTCGACTTGTTCTCTGTGGTTACTCAGTGATGATATGTTACACCCCTGTTTTTCAAGAATGGGAAACCCCAAAAGGGAACAAGCACACCAACAAATATTTTCCTTGGGCCTGCGTCTGCATCTGACTCTCTGCCAAAAGGGTTTGAAAATGAGCACATTGTCCATGTGCTGAAAGTCCCTGTCTGTTTCAGCTCCAGCACTTCCTCCGCTTCCGAAGGATATTGTTCAGCACCGTGTTTGTAAAGAAGCTTTTCAGGGTCTTTGCATAAAAAGTGCTTAAGTAAACAAAAGCGACAGCTACCTTGGAATAGAAAAGCGCTTTCAGGAAGGAGCTCCTCATTTCTTCGATAGCCAAAGAAAGGAATGGATTATCTTTGAAAACATGCTCAAAGCAAGGAGCGCGCTTTTATAACAACAACAATGCATCATGTCTGTGTCTCGGGCTGCTTCTGTCCCAAGGCACTCGGTGGAGAGACACTGAAGATTAGAGACTCTTAGCCTCCTGTAAATTGGGTCAGCAGCACCCACCCCCTCCTAGAAATGCAGAGTTGCAATGTTTCCACAATCTCTTTGGGTCCTCTTAGGAACAAAATCCCACTTGACACATCCAGGCTCTAGGAGTGATGAAGTGGGAAACATTTTAGTTTCCAAATGAGCAAACCACTTTTAATAAAAGTCTGGCAGCAGGTTAAAATGCTCACATTTAACCCCACCCCCTTCCTTCTTATGAACCTGGAGTTTTAGAATTTGTTGTTGTTGTTCATTCGTTCAGTCGTCTCCGACTCTTCGTGACCTCATGGACCAGCCCACGCCAGAGCTCCCTGTCGGCCGTTACCACCCCCAGCTCCCTCAAGGTCAGTCCAGTCACTTCAAGGATGCCATCCATCCATCTTGCCCTTGGTCGGCCCCTCTTCCTTTTGCCTTCCACTTTCCCCAGCATAATTGTCTTCTCTAGGCCATCATGAGGAGACAGGAAAGCCTAGAGTTTTAGAATATTTTCCATATATTCCACTGAACTCCCATTGCTTGGGTCCCAGAGCTGGGTCATCTTGCTTTGGTGCTCACCAATTTTTCCTCTTCATCCTGGAAACTGGTGATGAGTGGAGTGCTGCAGGGTTCTGTCCTGGGCCCAGTCCTGTTCCACATCTTTATTAATGACTTAGATGAAGGGTTAGAAGGCAGGATCATCAAGTTTGCAGACAACACCAAATTGGGAGGGATAACCTATACTCCAGAGGACAGGAGCAGAATTCAAAATGATCTTAACAGATTAGAGAGATGGGCCAAAACTAACAAAATGAAGTTCAACAGTGACAAATGCAAAATACTCCGCTTAGGCAGAAAAATGAAATGAAAAGATACAGAATGGGGGACGCCTGGCTTGAGAGCAGTATGTGTGAAAAATATCTTGGAGTCCTCATGGACAACAAGTTAAACATGAGCCAGCAATGTGATGCGGTGGCAAAAAAAAAGCCAACGGGATTTTGGCCTGCATCAATAAGAGTATAAGTGTCTAGATCCAGAGAAGTCATTCTACCCCTCTATTCTGCCTTGGTTAGACCACACCTGGAATACTGTATCCAATTCTGGGCACCACAATTGAAGGGAGATGTTGAGAAGCTGGAATGTGTCCAGAGAAGGACGACTAAAATAATCAAGGGTCTGGAGAATAAGCCCTATGAGGAGCTGGGCACGTTTAGCCTGAAGAAGAGAAGGCTGAGAAGAGACATGATAGCCATGTATAAATATGTGAGAAAAAGTCATAGGAGGAGGGAGCAAGCTTGTTTTTGCTTCCCGGGTGACTAGGATGCGGAACAATGTCTTCAAACTACAAGAAAGGAGATTCCATCTGAACATTAGGAAGAACTTCCTGACTATGAGAGCTGTTCAGCAGTGGAACTCTCTGCCCTGGAGTGTGATGGAGGCTCCTTCTTTGGAGGCTTTTAAACAGAGGCTGGATGGCCATCTGTTGGGGTGCTTTGAACACAATTTTCCTGCTTCTTGGCAGGGGATTGGACTGGGATGGCCAACG